GTCAGGTGAATGGATGTGAGATTAGCAATTTTTTTTTTTTACATTATTTTTATTTCTCTGTTGGACATGCACAGGTTTTTGCTTTTAAAAGTTCTGAAAGTCAAATGTAAATATAAAGTGTTTTGTTTGGACATTTTTACCCCTTCTACTGTAAATAAAATATGAATGTTTTCGGTAAGGAAGGTGTATAATTGTATTAATACAAAGTCAATCATCTTTTTAAAAAAGTGTAAAAAAGCCATGTGAGTATATACCGTGACAGAAGTTGTCATACAAAAGCTAGCTTGGAATAAACCTTAAAAAATATAATGAGCAAATAAAAGAGCAATAAGTTCAAAGATAGACAGTGAGTGAACGATGACAGTAGTGAATCAGCTTATCCGGTTAAGGTTGAGGTAGTACTATGCGAAAATGCACCAAATTGAATAACAAATGTAGGTTTACTGAAATAATTTCTGGAATGAGCTGGTATACAGAGATTATTTATGTTTTGTATGTTTATTAAAATCACATAGAAATATAATACATAACATTACATTTCTCTATGTCTACTGCTAGTCTCTACCTTACTGTCTTACAGTAAGGTAAAATTAAAAAATTAAAAAATTAAAAAAATTAAAAAATTAAAAAATTAAAAAATTAAAAAATTAAAAAATTAAAAAATTAAAAAATTAAAAAATTAAAAAATTAAAAAATAAAATAAAATAAAATAAGATAAATAAATAAAGTAAATAAGTAAATATTATTTAATAATAAATAAGTAATTAAGTAAGTATCTTACCCTGTCCCTGCCTGACTTTTCCCCTAAATGTGTCTATATTATAATGACTAATATAGTCAAAATGTTTTAGACAAATATATCCAAATATATCAAGATATATAATCATTTTTACCTATTCCGGATGCAGGAAATTCCCGCAGCAGCTGGCAGAGGAGCTGGGAGCTGAATTTCCACAGGCAGTGTCAAATTGGGAAAAGTTAAACGCAAAAACAATCATTTCAACACCTGTTGCAAATGCCACAAAACGGTTTGTGGATATGATTATCTCCACCCACACTTCTACTTATGCAACGTGTACTTGTTTTAATTGTATGCAACTGCTGGCCAAAAGAGCCAAAAGGATTAGAATTGTGTCGATGTCCCAATATTTATGGACCTGGTTTGGTTAGTGCTAATTAAACATGAGCTATACTGTTTATTTAATAATAAATAAGTAATTAAGTAAGTATCTTACCCTGTCCCTGCCTGACTTTTCCCCTAAATGTGTCTATATTATAATGACTAATATAGTCAAAATGTTTTAGACAAATATATCCAAATATATCAAGATATATAATCATTTTTACCTATTCCGGATGCAGGAAATTCCCGCAGCAAAGCATCGAGTCTTGTCGAGTCAAAGGGCCCGAGTCCAAGTGAAGTCACGAGTCATTGATGTTAAAGTCCAAGTCGAGTTCCAAGTCTCTTTACATTTTGTCAAGTCGAGTTTAAAGTCATTCAAATTGACGACTCGAGTCTGACTCGAGTCCCGAGTCATGTGACTCGAGTCCACACCTCTGACTGTGGAAACACTTGTGACATCCAAGGTTCCAATATTTGAAACAACAAGCGATATTTTTCAACGCAAACTGATTTCGGTAGATCGCTAAATAAAATAACATAACATGTAAATGAAAACCAAACATTTTGGTGAACTTTGGAAAATAAAAAAGTGTTTATTTTTATAAATTAGGTCAGATGGTGCTATCTAATACCTGATCCTTTACCACCGGAGGTGCTCTGCAGTCCAATGTCACCAATGTCCTATCCATCTTGTCTCTGAATTTCAGTTTCACCTGTTGTTGAGCACAATTTGGCATCTTTTTTTTTTTTTTTTTTTTGTGCTCACCTCAGAGGCGTGCGTTATAGCTCGGAAGTCTGTGTACGCTGCTTGAATTTATTTGCGGAAATGCAAATTATTCGTTGCTTATTTTGTAAACAACCATGCTCCCTTATCCATGACATGTTTTTTTTTTTTTTATGAAAGATGTCATTCACTGAGCCAAACAATGTGATCTCTGCTGCACAGAACATGTTTTGTCTTAGCATAAAATATCTGGTGCAGTTGCGCATTCGTTATGACAGTAAAAGAATATGTCTTTTTTGTATATGAACGAGGTGCTTTTTTCTAGTCACACTCAATGCAATCATTCCAAAATAATGTGTGAAAATCCCAGTCCTATTATTTACCTTTACATCATCATTTTATATATCAGTGTTGTAGAACATGTCTAGTTGTCAAAGCAGCATTCAAAATACAATTGTGTCAGGCAGATTGTCAGCCATTGAAGTTTGCGCCTCTGGGATGTGCCAGCACTCCTGAGTCTACCCAAAAAAAAAAAAAAGGTATGCTTTGATGTGTCATCACAGCCTCTATACACAGTGCCATGCCTGGAAGATAGAAGGTGGGCCTGGCTGGGGTGTGTTGGAGTAGATAGGGGATTAAAGCCATCAGGAGAATGAAGGGGTGCCTGCACTCAAGGCTCTACCTTGCTTCTTTTTCTTTTTTTTTTTTTACAACTGCTACCCTTGACCATGAGCAGAACTTATGTTAGCAACAATCACAGAGTGGCAATGACCTCTCTCTCAACATGTGTCTGTTCTTTTTCCCTATCATCACCGCTGCTTTTTGATCCTGTGTTGCGATGAGAGAGTGGCCCAAGTGCGAGTTTGTGTGTCGGATGTTATGATCAAATATATACGGTATATCAAATCACGATCAATTTTTGCACACACATACGCATCTTGTGTACACAGCCATGTAGTATTCACATTGCCAGCTGCCTCTTCCCCTGGCCTGCTG